CGTCGGCTATGATGACGAGTCCCTGAGGGAGGCGATTGAACTTCCATGATACCAAAAACTTTGCTGAGATATGCTTTAAATCCGCCGTCGCTACTTTGAGCACGTCTATTCCTATCCTTTCTCTCTAATATTTCATTACTGTTCTCCCCATTCACCACACTCTTATCAAATTCTTCTTCCGACTTTCGCCGACTCTCTTCCACTTTTTGTACATAAGATACCTGCAGGTCGTTAATCATCACGCGTAACTTGCATATTTCCGACAAGAGATCCTGCATTAAGTGAACTAATGGTAAGAAATTTTCCGGTGAAAAAGAGTACACATCCTTTTGGCTCGTATTGTCATCGGAAATATCCTTTTCGCTTGTTTTCACCTCTTCATTGTTGCGAAAATCTTCCACCCACCGGAATTTTTCTCTGAAGATTTCAACATCATTCTGGATACTCTCAATCAAGTTATTACTCAAATTAGTTAACTCTAAAATGTCGAATGTTCGTTTCAATCTACGATTCAAAGCTAACAGATCAGTATCCTTAAGACGATCTACGATGTGACTGGCAAGATTAAAGAGAGATTGATATGGATTCTGTTGTGATGCATGTTCGAGTTTATGCTCATCCTTAGGCGATTCGTCAGTGGTTATCGTGATCGATGGAACATGGAAGATTGTATGACGAGTGGCCGTTGAGGTACGACGAGAACGTACGGACCTTGTCCCAACAGAAGATAGTCCATGCTCAACTTCATCGGCTAGTGCTGCAGCTTCTGCAGCAGAAAGATTCGCTTCATCAACCAATACCTCTTCAACAAATGCTTTTATCGGTGAATCAGACTTTCTATTTTTACCTTTGACAGCAACGCTTTCGTTGGTTGGATCACCTGCGGCTGACTTATTACCTTCAATCTGTTGATTATTCTTTTTCTGCTGTTCCTTTGCAACGTCAGCGCGCCAAGCTTCCATCATTAGTTTTCGTTCTTTTGGCCCAAGGGTAGCAAATTTGGGATTTTTATATGCCGGTATGGGTGGTTTCCCCTGTAAAACCTTCGATTTCGAAGCGGTCACAGATGAATTGTTCGAGGAATGGGAAACTTTGACCGACAAAGAACTTGCCATAGCCGACGTAGCACGACGAGCGGACAATGGAGAAGGTTGCGATGGTACATGTTGTTTACTTGTTGATGCAACTATCGTTAGCTTGGAAGTGCTTGGTCGTTTTGAGAGTTTCAGAGGAGCTGAATTTCGTCGAAGGGGCAGTCTCAGTTCAGCTCCCTTCTTACCGAAGGATCTCTTTGCCTGGATTGATTTATCTTCTTCGTGGACCCTATTGGTCGCACCCGACTCGTCAACGGAAGACCTCTTGAGACCAGCAGATAATAAGGATACGCCTTGTATTTGTTGTGTTGCCGAAACATTATCCGGAGAAGAAAACGTTCGCACCTTTTTCTTTGTACTCTGCCTATTATCCACCTTATCATTGCCTTCAGCGACTTCTGGTACAACTTCTTCGTTCTTGACAACCGTAATATCCGACTTGTGACTTGCATTCTTTTCTGACACTGGCTTTTCATTACCCTAAAAATCAAATGAATCATTATTATGTCGTCCATTAATAAACAAACGTAACCACCATAGATGAATATCAAACCTCAACACTTGATCCCCCTTCGGAATCTTCGCTATAACTTTGTTCATCCTCCGAAGAACCTTCCGATCTTTCATGCTTCTTGATCGCGACGTCTGATTGAGCGTCATCCGCTTTAAGTTGTTCTTCATTCTCTTCACCTATTCCAACAACTACTCTTTTTCCTTTTCTCATACTACTTTGTCCTATACGTCTGCTTCCTTTGTGCTTGGTTTTTTTCATAAGATATTTTTCCAGCTCTCCGAACACACTTCCCCGGACAATTTCAAGATTTTCATTTGGGAAACGATGATAATGATGATAATGATGATGATAATGCAAAGGATTCGAACTGGATAACACGGAAGATGAGACAACTGATCCTGCAGGAGAGTGGATAGAAGCATCCACGCCCATACTATTAAATGTATTATATGAACCAGGGCCAAATGAAGAAGATAGAACACTGGGGGACATATGAGGATGAATTGGTCGAGCGCCAATACCTGGTGAGATATTGGATTCATCGACAGCTTCTTCTGTATAACCGCCAGCGTGCGATGTGTTTTCGCCTACGCTTGCTATATCATCGAGAACGTGTGACGGGAAATTTCGGTTGAAAGGGGATGCAAAAGAGCCCGACGTATAACTAGCTTGATATGGATAGCCTGTCGTACTGGCAGTTTCAATATCTTCAATACGAGCTTGTAAAGTACTCAACTCATTACGGGATTCAGAAAGAAGATCACGATATTCGCTGATCTCCAATTTTAGCTTATTGTTAGCGGATGAAAGTTCTTTAATGAGAGTTATAAGATGAGAATTTGCTTCATTGTTTGGAGACGATGGCTGAAGGTAACAAAGATATATATAGTGTTCGTTTTAAGTAAACATTTAAGACATCAAGATTACAATCGGAATAAATGATCCACATACGTAATGTTCCTTTCGTTCAGTTGGCTCACGAAGCATTGCAACCGCTTCCAATCTCACTTTTGACTTCTGAGTTTCTATCTGTTCTAACTTTAATTCTTCATGAGATGTGAAAAGTTCATCTGATTATAGGAGAAATATCGAGGAAGGTGTAAGGAATGAATCATTTCATGCATAATAGTTGTAAATCTTCTGATAACTCACCAAATTTATCTTTCAATTTCTTTAAGTTTAATTCAGCGGCATGCTCGGCTTTCCTTGAAATCGCAAGTTCTTGGTTCAAATCTTCTAATTGTCTACTAAGTATCTCTTCTCTCTCCTCACTTTTCTCTCCTTTAAGGTTACTTGCCATCAAGCGTTTGATCTCGCCGTCACTCTTTTCGAGTTCTCTTGTTAATTCCAAAACTTTATTGTCACGAGAGTCAATTGCCTCAGTGAATGCTTCAATTTTCTGTTGAAATCCATTTAAGATTTTAGTAATGAATTTTGACGAAAAGTTCAATCGGAGAAAACGAAATTGTCATTATTACGCTTTCCAAGATGGATTTCTGCTTTAATGAATCATCTCTTTCCAGGATCAAAATACGCTGCGATTCCTCAAGCTTGCGCACCATGTCTTCGTACTCTTGAACTTTTTGTTCGGCGCTTGCACATTGCGCGGTCCGTTATAAGAAAATAAACATAGATAAATTTAGTAATCACCAGTAAAGTAGGTATTTTTTGTATCCATAGAAAACAAATTTCAATAAAGGTAAAAACCTGATTTTGAAGTGATTTTTGTAACTCTTCTATTTCTTTTTGATATATTTCATGCTTTTGTAATAAAGCTTGTCCAACCTCTGTAATAGGATAGTGGCGAATATGTTAATATTGTAAAAGAATATTATCGATGTAAAAAATTCGATGCATAATTATCGCATCATTTCAATCATTAAATTTGATTACTCAAGACCACATACCAGCAGCCAATCTCAACTCATCTTCCATAAACCCTGTGCTTCTAAGAAACGCTGCAAGATTTTCGCAGTTTTCTTTACCACAACAACATTGGATGAGTACAGGCGACCTTTGATCATGTCGGTTCACGGTATTGAGGCGAGATCGCGAAGTGGGGTCAGCCAGAATGTCATCATAGTTCCCATACCCCGCTACCTGCTGCGGCTGTTGCGTTGACAATAGTCGGCGAGACAGATCTTTAGGATCTGGAATCGAGCTACCTATTCTTGGGCTGCCCGGGCTGTGGTAATCCATGACTATGAATTACCAAGCTATGAACACAAAGATTGATAATAAGGTTGGTTATTAAACAAATATTTATGTAGTTTTTCTTTTGGGTTGAAAGGCTGGGTTGTGGTGGACAGAAACACACTTGAATTCGGTGAATCTATCACCCCAACGCTTAAAAAGAATTTTATTGTTTCCTATCCTTCACAATAATCAGCCTCGTGTCGTTTTAAGTTAAAAAAAAGATTTTAATATAATACTAGCGGCTTTTTCGAAATTTGTTCTGACTTGTGAAACCTCCAAATTTGTTGAAATTAGGCACAAATTAGACTATCATCTGCAAAGGTCATGGATTTTTTAGGGTGAAAGCTAGTCATATTATCCTCTTAAACAATGCAAAATCGTCATGCATTACGAAACGCAGGATGCATAAAGGCACTATTACGTATGAGTGCCACCAATATCGCCTCTTTGTCTCTGTAAGGTTCAAAGTTAATTTGAACTTGCAGATGATAGTGCAATTCCACGAGTTGAAAAGGTTGGTCGCATTGTTACACGAGCTCGTGCCTCATCGCATCAGCCTCTAAGACGTCGAATTCCGGACGGAAATTTCCGGTCATTATTTATCGAACCTCTCACTAGCAAAGAAATGGTTCTATTTCGGAAAAAATAGTTATTGTTCCACGCGACTCTCGCGTAGAACAAGATGGGGAAACAATTTATTCGATATAAATTTTTGGAGATCTAATTGAAGATCTCCGAGAAATAATCTGTCGATTGAATTCGCAAAAAGGAGATCGGTAGCCCATTAATCGGAACTTCAAAAAAGCATCTGCCTGTTCTATGTTAATGCGCTAACTTTAAATAAAGTTTCGGAGAAGCAATCTGCTAATTAAAAATTTAACAAAATTTAAAGTAATACGCTAATGTAATAATAGAATAGAATAAAGAAGAATGGAATGCTTATTTTTTAAAAATGGCAAACGGCAACCATCTTAATTCTTTATTTGCAAATAAACATGTATCACAAAAAGACATTATATGAAATAAACTCGATTGATTTTGTGTTTAAAAAATAAGCAACTATTACTTTAAAAAGCCATATAATATACTGTATAATAATACATTCAAATATATATTGTCTATTATAAAAATTCATTCAAACGAATTTTTTAAGAAATTATCTTAATTAAAACTTCAAGATTGATAAATATTTTTGAATGTCCCAGATAAATATTTATGAATCTCAAAATATTATAAATATTATATTAAAATTTATAATATTTACTAACTAAATATATACAATTTTAAAACTATAATATTTTTTTAAAAGTTTTATAAAATTGTGAAAATTATTAAAATATAGAAACAAATTATATGATAATTTTGAAAAATGAAACAGAAGAATTTTATAAATTTAGAAAGATAATTAATATATTATTAATTTCTAAAGTAATTTTTTGTTTATTTATATATTGCAATATATATAATGTGTAACAAAACTTTTTGGGATTTTTTTTATTAAAAAAATAATATATCAATTTATTATCAATTAATTTTTCAGTTTATTGTATTTAAATGTATAAAGCTATAGATTTTTATATTTTATTTTTGATATTATAAAAAAAAAACTTTAAAATTCAAAAATTATAAAAAACATTTTTATATAAAATTTATATTATTATAATTTTCAAATTTTAAGTTTTATTTTGATATGTTATTTATTAATTTTTATGCAATAGTTTTTAAATAACAAATAAAAAACTTTTAAAAAAATATATAATAAATAGAAAAAATTAATTTTTAATTTTTAATTATAGTATTTTATAGTATATATATCTAATACTTAAATAATTAATACTTATCAAATCTATATATTTATTTTTAAGTTTAAATAAAATTTTATTTCAAGTTTAAATTAATTAGTAAATATTTTTATAATATATATAACACTTAAAATAGTTATTTTACTAAACTTATAATTAAATAGAATATACTATCAAATATGTTTTTAAATAGATTTTCATAAATTTGTAAGATATATATTATATAAAATTTAATATTATTGAAAATTTTTTAATAATAAAAATTTTTTAAAAATATAAAAATAAATTATTATTAGTATTATTTTAAAATAAATAAATATTATTATTTATTTATTTATTTATATTATATTATAAGTTAATACTAGCTAATAATAAAGAGTATAAACATATTTTTTTTTAATAAGGTATATTTTTTTATTTTTTTATATATTTTTAATCTATAAGTTTTTAAAACTATAATTATTAAAATTTATTGTAATTTTGATATATACTAAAAATTAATATTCAAAATATTTACTAGAAAATATATATATATTTTTTTAAACTAATTTCTAGAAATTCAAGAATTATTTCACCTGCTGAATATCAAGCCACATTTGAGAAGCAAGCGTGCCAGTCCTACTTATGACTTGGAGGCAAACCTGTATAAAGTAGCTGCAGCATCTTCATGTGATTAGGCATTCAATTTAATTTTTAGGTAGCTAGACGCCATTTAAGGCCATAATATAGGTTTA